TGTGTCGTAGTCTTTTTTGCCATAGTGTCACAACCTTAGACTTCAACTGAGAACACCGTGCGACACTTGACAACTCGCTCACGAATCTTTCACGATCTTGCAAGCTCAAATAAGCCTTTTTATACTAGATCGCTAAGAGAATGAAGAAAGACACAAGAGGGTTTATAAGAAGACTTTTGTATTGCTTTGGAAGATAGCTTGCTTTTGCTTGGTCGGTTTACAAATGGATGTCCCTCTATTTATACTACTAACTTAGGGGCTAAAATGTAAATAATAATTGTTACATATGTCCCTACATATTTACAAATAAACCATTTTCTCTAGAATTCTCTACATGCGTAGAATATTCTATGGCTTTTCAAGAATTCTTCCTAGATATTCTAGAGTCTTTCCAAGAAGTTCTTCATTGTTCTAGAATCTTCTCATAAAAGATAGCATATTTATGCTTCCAAATGGACAACTTTATGCTACGTGGCGCTTATGTGGTGTGATGAGGTGGCGGGTCATGACACTCTTCCCCACCTGATGTTGCGACGACTGTGGCACATTGTTGTTATATGAACCACTGAATCTTGTCTTCTCACACGTGCGACTAGTAGAATATTGACTCGATCAATGCCCTTGTGCAACTCCTTAGACATTACATCCTTATTCTCTTCTAGTACTTTCTTTATACGTGGTGGCAAAAATACTCTAGCACTATTGTTTTTAGTCACTCTCTCAATGGTGGCTTTGAGCGTCGACTCCTCTTTCTTAAGGCCCGTCATGAGCTACATAGCCAATAGTTGAGCTTGTCCTTCTATCTTTAGTACCTTAATTAGGGGCACCATACATGATCCTTTTTTCTCCATGACTAAGAGTTGTTGGACGTTAGAATTGGTCATCATGTGACATTTCTGGAAGAACTCTTGCCCAAGAATTATGTCAAAGATATTTAAGAGAGCGACAATAAATGTTGTTTTACCTTGACACTTGCCTTTCGTGATGCTTACTCCATGAGTGACTCGGCACAAGGGAGTCAGTGGAGGATTGACTGTCTTGAGGTGAGTGTTACTTGGATTGTAACTCAACCTCAACTTTGTTGCTTGGCTCTTGGTAATGATGTTGGCCCCTGCACCTGTGTTGACCATAGCAGGAGCGGGTCTTCCATTGATCGTGATGTCTACATATTGTGCGCCATATTCTTTTGGATTCTCTGATTGCTTTGTGATAGATCCACATAGACCAATCAGGCCCAATTGTGTCGTGCCCAAACCTTGCCTAGTTTCTTGTGTATCTTTCTCCTTTCATTCTTATTATATGGCACTGAGATATTTCAGTTCAGGGCATCTTGCATAGCCATGCAGCCCACCGCATGTTTTCCTTTGTAGTCTGTGTTTTCCTGTAACATTATTCTAACGTCCAAACTTTTTGCCATCAGGCTTATAGGTGTCATAATTCTTGGGATATGGTTGTAGCTCTTTGCTTTTTCCATGATCTTCTCTACCTTGGTCATGACTACCTCTCTTCTCTTCTCCTTTTACTCTGTCATGCTTAAAGTCTGTCAAAGCTTCGGCCTGCGTGACTTTCATCAGTAGTCCTAACATATTGGTGCTCCAACTCCATCTTGGCCCAACTTTGCATCCCATCCATGAAGTGGAACAACATATCTTCATCCGTGAGGTTGGGAATCTGAAGCGTGAGGGTGGTGAACTCCTTCACAGATGCTCGTTTGTTGTTTGTTTGCTTCAACTCCCTAAACTTGCGCTTTGCCTCATAGATAATGTTGTTGGGAAAGATGCCTTCTTGAACTCTTCTCGGAATTGCTCCCAAGTGTTGATGGTGCAAAGCCCCTTCTGTATCTCAGACTCTTTACGCCTCCACCACAGTAGGACCATCTCCGAGAGGTACAACACGACAGTGTTGATCTTGTTCTCATCTCTCTTCACCCTTTTGCACTTGAAGTAGTTCTCCAAATGCCTTAGGAAATTCTCCACCTCTTGCGCATCACAGACGCCATTGAGGTGGCTTGGGAGCCTCAACCTTGGCCTCCCTATAACTGTCGAATGACGAGGGTCCTCCAACTTCAATGCCCACTTTGAGTGCTTTCATCTCGGCCTTCATGGTTTTAATTGTGCTTAATGCATCCATGAGCCGACATCCAAGGAAGAGATGATTTTTTCATCTCATATTCCGCATGCCTATGCACCTCCAACTCTTTGTAGATGTTCTCATTTTCGTCAAAGGTGAAGTCCTCAAGAGTCTTGAACTTGTAATCGACCCCATTGAAACGTCTGTCTAAAATCACGACAACCTACCTTGCCGTGTCAACCCCGCAATCCACTCAATTCTAGGCATAACGTCTACGGGTTGTTCCCCACGTTCATCATCACTTGCCTCAGTGGCTGAAGGTGAGAGGGATGTTAATGTTTCACTTTGTGTAGGTTCACACAACAATTCCTCGTTCTTCTTAAGATTCTTCCTCCCTTTTTGGTGCTTCATCCACCATCCTGCCTGACGTTGTCGGTGCTAGCAGCGTTAATGTCTCCTCATTTGCCATTCCTATTAGTATCAACTTTTGCTTTGATACCACTTTGTCACGGCCTTAGACTTCTATGAAACACATCGTGTGGCACTAGACAACTCATTCATGAATCTTTCACGATCTTGCAAGCTCAAGTAAGCCTTTTAATACTAAATCACTAAAAGAATGAAGAAAAACACAAGTGAGTTTATAAGAAGGCTTTTGTATTTCTTTGGAAGATTGTTCGCTTTTGCTTGGTTGATTTACCTATGGATGCCCCTCTATTTATACTACTAACTTAGGGGCTAAAGTGTAAATAATAATTGTTACATAAGTCCCTACATATTTACAAATAAACCCTTTTTCTAGAATTCTCTACATGCGTAGACTATTCTAAGGCTTTTCAAGAATTCTTCTTAGCTATTCTAGAGTCTTTCCAAGAAGTTCTTCATGGTTCTAGAATCTTCTCATAAATGCTAATATACTTATGCTTCCAAATGGACAACTTTATGCCACGTGGAACTTACGTGGTGTGATGAGGTGGCGGGTCATGACACTCTTCCCCACCTGATGTAGAACGCATTTCTCTAGGATCATGCATAAATAGGCTAACAACGCTTGCAGCAAATGCAATGTCTGGCCTAGTATTGGACAAGTAAATCAACTTCCCTACAAGACTTTGTTACAAGCCTTTATATAATCTTTTGGAGCATTGCACAATCTATGATATTGGTGTAGCCACTCGTTTATACCCTAATTTTTCTGTTTCTTTCGGCAAATCAAGCCCATATTTTTTGGGAAAATAAAGATTCCTTGTTTTGAGTGTGCCACTTCGATTCCCAAAAAATACTTTAATGTACCAAGCTCTTTGATGTCAAATTCCTTGAGTTAACACTTTTTCAAATTTTGTATCTCCTCTGAATCATCACTTGTTACTATGATGTCATCCACATAAATAACAATGTTGTCAGCTTTCTTGTTTTTGAGTGTCGTATGAACAAGGTGTGGTCTGCTTGACTTTGTCGATACCTTAGCTTGATCATAACCTTTGTATATCTACCAAACCATGCACGAGGGAGGTGATTGCTTTAATCCATAGAGTGCCTTCTTCAGTCTACACACCATTCCCTTCTTGCTTTCAAAACAAGGTGTCACCTCCATATATAGATCTCCTCATCTAAGTCTCCATGTAAAATGACATTTTTTTAAATCAAATTGTTGTAGGTTCCGATTAAAAACTGCAGCCAATGATAATAAGATTTTCACTGTATTCATTTTTTCCACTGGGCAAAAGTCTCCAAATAATCAAATTCCATTGGTCTGTGTATAGCCCTTTGCTACCCAATGTGCTTTATATCTTTCTATGGACCCATCTGACTTATATTTCATAGTTAACACCCATTTGCACCCGACCAACCTCTTTCCTTTTGGTAATTCCACAACATCTCAAAGCTGAAAAGAGAGGTTCTACTTTCCTAGGTAAGGACCATGAACTTCTAGCTTTGGTGGATCCACTAGCTATGTCTTTGTAAGACAATCCTATAGGGGCACGTAGTTAGGGACAAGTAGATTGCTACTAGAGATCCATCCTCTACTAACGGGAGAGACTCCATCTCAATGTCCTCTCGGTGCTAAGTAAAAATTCCAACATAATAGGCATATTCGTAAACATATCATCATATATGGAAAAGCACAATTAAGTCACTAATCCAAGCTTAAGTCATCATAGAGTAGCTCCTTAAATCATAATACATACATGTGTGAGAAAACTTTTCACCAATCATGATTTCTTAATATGTTAAAATCTTTCACAATTCATATGATGTGAGAAAACTTTTCACAATTTTATTGATGCTTATCTTGAAAGCAACCTTAGTTCATAAACATTCTTTTCATAAATCATACATAGCTTCCATACATCATCATTCACAAGTTCATAGCTTTCTTCATAAATTCATAGTCAAAATCATGAATAATGCATGGGTCCATGAGAAATCAATCGGAAAACGTGTAATTGAATCAAATCATTCATAATAAGATCAAAATCAAACAATTGAATCATAAAAAATTGGATCAATGGAGAATTGAATGAAACCCTAATCAAGCTTGATGAAAGTGACTTAGAACTTGGAAATCTTTTGGGATCCAATGGATGAACCAAACCATTGGTGAATTCTCACATACCTTGTATGTCTCATGTCCATCCTCTTGTATGTCTGAAAATGCTCTAGTATTTGACCTCAAATCATCGTCCACTCTGTAGTGATGGCAACAATCCTTCTCTATTTAGTATGACAAATAGCTATAGAAGTATAATGCTACTTAAGAGCTTAGTCTGTGCAGTTGGTTCTTGTCACTGGCTCTCATACACTCATTTTTCCGTTATTATATTATTTGGATTTCTTTAGGATTGTTTTCCTCAAGTGCTTGCCCATGCTTCACAAGAAATAACCTAATTTCAGTTTGTTTTGTCAACTAACAATACTTCCCCTTGCAGGTTAAAGGGCTTTCAAGCAAAGAATTTGTTGTATGTAATGATTTGGTACTTGCAATGCCCAATAGGATAACTGCAATTTTAGACGGTGCAGCAGCTACACCCAAACAATCTGGTGGATGGGGAGGTTCAGGTTCTCGTGCAGAAATTAAATTTGATTTAGGTTATAAAATTGCATTCGTTCCAAAGGCTTTTCCCCTCCACGCTAATCATTTATCCGCTTCAATGTTATACAATTCCTTTATCGTGATGATATGTTTATCATTTCTTTCTATTTTTGGAATGAATACAAAATGGACAATTTGATGGTGATTACTTTCAACAAACTGAAGAATCAAGTTAATTCCAACAAGAATATGAATTTTGCAAAATGTAACATGCATGCATTTTTTTGGAATATTTCATGAAGGTCTTGTTCATGATTCATCGGAAGGATTTTGCCTTTTATTACATGTTATTGCTGGCTTGTTGGTTCCTAAATACCGATGTATGGTTTTGTTTCGACTTCTCATAGGATCAAGGTTTGGAGGTCATATCAGAAAGTTTTGATACTTCGCAAAACATGGTTAGGGATATGAATGAGGTCTGGGATTCTTTTTGTGTGGTCTGTTTTGCTCCTTCTCTATTGTGGATATTAATGATCATCCAATCTATGAAGGAGTTGGATAGGCAAATCCTCTGATGGATGAGACTGAGACTGAGACTGATGGATGAGACTGTGCTAATTTGCTTTAATTTGTGGACAGATTGACAAGGCTACATCTGACCTTAAGAATACGAATGTTAGGCTTAAGGGCACGATTAACCAGGTAAATTGAGCGTCAACTATCTTATGTCATTCTCCGTAAGTTGAGGCAGTTTGCAGGATAGTACTTCTATCTTTTGATGTTACCAGATTTAACAAGTCTTTTCCTTTTTCAACTGAGATCTAGCTGAAACTTCTGTATTGACATCATTTTGTTGTGCATAATTCTTGGAGGTGCAGCCTATTTGTATTAGTAAGTTCTCATTCTAACAATCTGTTAGAACCCAATGATTTATCCCATCCTGGTTACTTTTAAGGATATTCAATTATTATATCCACGAATAGTACTATGCCACAAATGTGAAGAATTGGTCAAGGAACTAAGACATTATAATTATATTATATCCACGAATAGCACTAGTTGAGATATCTTTTGTCACGACCCAAGGTACCCCTAGGCGTAACATGGCTTCTAGGACTCGAAAAGGCCCCATACAAGCCACTTATCATTCATAACATAAGATATAGAATGAGGAGAGGTAAAGAACAACATTTCAAGTTCAAGAGTTTTATAAAAGTAAAGCGGAAGTCTAAACACTTATCTCATTAGAGCATCTCCAACCTACCTCTATTTTGCCCTCCATTCTCTACATTTGGAGAGTAAAATAGAGAATGAGCTCCCCCAACCATTCTCTAAATGACTCTCTATTCTCCATTTATAGAGAGGTAAATAGTAGTTCTCCAAATTGGGAGAACTACTATTCACCTCTCTATTTTACTTTTTTATTATTTTATTATTATTTCTAATATTTTGTAATTAACATATTATTTTGTAATTAATTATTTCTCTAATATATAAGATGAAAATTTTAATTTAAAATGATAAGATGAAAATTTTAATTTAAAAATACAATACATAACGTAATAATTTAAATACAAGATAACAATACATAACATAATAATTTGATTACAAGATAACAATGTATAACATATTAATTTTATCACAACAATAATTTAGTAATCCGGTAGGTCATTTTCAGATTTAAGAATATTCGGAAAAAAATAGTGTATGATCCACATAATTAGTGTAGTTGTGATTGTGGTTGTGCTTGTTGATTTCTTTTTTCAATTATTCGTAGTTGTTCGTGTTGCATGAAAATCTCGGATTTGATCAATCTTTAGCTAGACATAAAATAATTAAGGGTAAAAATGTTAATTTTGAACTTCGTAATGCATTAATAGAACATTTATGAGAGCAATATAATAATCTTAAAAGTAGAGTATTTATGTAATTATATTTCACTAATAATTTCACTTTTATTTGAATTGTCCATTAATTTGTATATTATATAATATTATCCATTAATTTTTATATTATATAATATTAGCTTGCAATTTATGTTTTTTAGAATTTGAGGAAAAAAATATAATTTTATATGAAGTAAAAACTTGAAAAGGTAAATTTTTATATTACATGAAAATTATATAAAGTGATTTATATTATATAATATTAGCTTGCAATTTATGTTTTTTAGAATTTGAGGAAAAAAATATAATTTTATATGAAGTAAAAACTTGAAAAGGTAAATTTTTATATTACATGAAAATTATATAAAGTGATTATTTGAAAAAAAGAAATAAAGGATGTATATTATGAAATAAGAAAATAAGAATGAAATAGAAATAATAATATAATATTGAGGAGAGAAAAAAAGATTCTTTTTAGAGAGTAAAATAGAGAATTGGGTTGGAGTTGGTTGTCTCATATAATAGAGAACTCTATATTTGGAGAGTAAAATATGATTAGGGTTGGAGATGCCCTTAGACATCTAGTACATAAGAATGAAATTGGGCCTAGCCCATACATCATGTCCAAATCTGAAAGTAAGAAAGAAAACTGACCATGGACTCTTCCACCGTCCTTGAACCCTTCCTTGGACCCTTGCCATAGAATATTCCATGGACTCTTCTACCGTCCTTGAACCCTTTCTTAGATCCTTTCCTTAAAATATTTTTCACAAGACTTGGGTTCAAGGATGGGTTCACTGAACATGGACTCTTCCATCTTCCTTGAACCCTTCCATAGATCATTGCCTTAGAATGTTTTTCACAAGGCTTGGGTTCAAGGATGGGTTCACTAACCGTGGACTCTTCCACCGTCCTTCAACCCTTCCTTAGACCTTTCCACCATTCTAAATCCTTCCTTACAATTTTTTTTTTCTTTTTTTGAGGTGTTACACCTTTCATTATACCACATCACTTGTTGTGGTGCAATGTATTATGCATTGGGAGTTTTGCTTAATTGTATTATGTTTTATTCTGTGCACCATTGAGACGACCCAACATGAATGCAATTACATAAATGCACATATCCTAGGAGGAAAATCAACTCCAAGCCAAAACATCATCTCATAAGGTCTATATGCAACTTATACTCAAATGCCCATAAACATGAAGAAGTCAATCAACTAACTTATTATTTTTCTTTTTCCCCAAAAATTTAAGCTTTTTCATGAACATGAACAACTGAGGAAATCATGAGAATATATAAGACACATGACACCAAAGGAGTAAACCATGAGGGACTAAATACCTCAAGCTAGAGTAGGGATGGGGGGAAAGAGATGAGGATATCAGGATATCATATCGAGCTCGGACTCCCAAGTAGCACCAAGAACTTTCACTGAAGCAATTTCTTTATTTCTCAACTTTTTAACTTGCCGGTCTAAAATCTCAACCGGAATTTCCTCAGATGAAAGATTCTCCTTAACTCCCAAACCTTCTAAGGGGACTATTGATGTCGGATCTCCAACACACTTCTTCAACAAGGAGACAATGCACCAATGCCAACTCACTAGGCAATTCAAGTTTATAAGCGACCTTGCCAATTCGTCTCAAAATTTGATATGGTCCCATATAACGGGGACTAAGCTTCCATTTCTTCCCAAATCACATTACACCCTTTATGGGTGAAATTTTCAAGTAGACCCAATCATTTACCTCAAACTCAAGATCTTTTCTTCTCACATCGGCATAGGACTTTCGTCGACTTTGAGTTGTTATCAACCTTTCTCTAATAAGTCGAACTTTCTCCATAGCCTCATGTACCAACTTGGGACCTATAAGGGAAACTTCACCCACCTCAACCAACCTATTGGATATCTGCATCTACCATATAGGGCCTCAAATGGAGCCATACCAATGCTTAAGTGATAGTTATTGTTGTACGCAAACTCCATCACAGGTAAGTGATCATCCCAATTACCCTTAAAGTCAATTACACATGCTCTCAACATATCTTCCAAGGTTTGGATAGTACGCTCTGCCTTTCCATCAGTTTGTGGGTGAAAGGTCGTACTAAGATTAACACGAGTACCAAGACCCTTTTTGAAAGATTTCCAAAACTGAGAAGTGAATTAGGTACCACTATCGGAGATAATGGATAAGGGCACTCCATGCAACTTTACCATTTCCTTCAAATATAACTTGACATTATCCTCCACCGAAAAAGAAACCTTGATGGGGATAAAATGAGCCAATTTCGTCATCCGATCAACAATAACCCAAATTGAGTCATGTTATGGCCGGGTGTGAGGCAAACCAACAATGAAGTCCATGTTCAAATCTTCCCACTTCCAAGTAGCGATACTAATATATTGAGATAAACCTACCGAATTTTGATGCTCAACTTTCACTTGTTGACAATTGGGACACTTAGCGACAAATTCCGCAATATCTTTCTTCATCCCATTCCACCAATAGATCTATCGCAAGTCACGGTACATTTTGGTGGCTCCTGGGTGTATGGAATATCAAGAATTATGGGATTTTGAGAAGATCTGTTCTCTCAAGTCGTTTACATTAGGAAGACACAAACGACCTTAATATCTAAGTATACCATCTCCCCCTTGGGATAAATCCTCTACGGACTTTTTAAGCACCGTTTCCTTCAATTCAACCAAAGTTTGATCTAGACCTTGTTTGGCTTTCACATCGGTCACAAAAGACGATTCTGAACCATAACACCACCCTTGGTAGAGTCAACTAACCGAACACCCAATCGGGCCAATCTATGAACATCTCGAACTAACTCTTTCTCATTATCTTCAATGTAAGCAACACTACCCATCGATAATCGACTAAGAGCATCCACCACCAAATCGCCTTACAAGGGTGATAGAGAACACTCATGTCATAGTCTTTCAATAATTCAAGTCATCTCCTTTGGCGAAGATTTAGATCTTTCTGGTTAAACATATATGGCAAACTCTTGTGGTCGGTAAAGGCATCCACATGAACACCATACAAATAATGCCTCCAAATTTTTAAGGCGAAAACAACCGCCGCTATTTCAAGGTCATGGGCCGGATAATTCTTTTCATGAATCTTAAGTTGTCTTGAAGCATAGGCAATGACTTTCTCATTTTGCATAAGGACACATCCTAACCCAATTCTCGAGGCATCGCAATAAACGACAAAACCATTGTTCCCTTCCGGTAAAGTCAATACCGGAGCGGAAGTAAGTGTATCTTTCAATTCTTGAAAACTCTTCTCACAAGCTTTCGACCATAAGAATTTGGCTCTCTTTTAGGTCAACGCCGTCAATGGAAAGGCAATCGACGAAAACCCTTCCACAAACCTTCTATAGTAACCGGCTAAACCTAAAAACTCCTAATATTCGAAGGGGATAGAGGTCTAGGCCAACTCTTGACCGCATCTATCTTCTTAGGATCTACCTCAATACCTTTTCCGGAAACAATGTGACCATAAAAGCCACAGACTTCAACCAAACTCACATTTACTAAACTTTGCAAAGTTGTTGGTCCTTGAGGATATGAAACGCAATCTTCAAGTGATTAGTGTGCTCATCTTCACTCCTTGAATATATCAATATATCATCAATGAATACAACCACAAACATGTCAAGGTATTGCCTAAACACCCTATTCATCAAGTCCATAAAAGCTGCTGGAGCATTAGTCAAACCAAACGACATTACCAAAAACTCATAATGACCATACCGAGTTCGAGATGCCGTTTTCGGAATGTCATCTCCTTTCACCC